TTCATGTGTGATGAACACTACGCTTGATGTTTTTTTCTATTTATCTGATCGCTTCGTCTTAGTTGTCAGTTAGTATTATATTGCATGAAGATGTATCTTGAGTCGCGTGATCGTTTCTTAGTATGATATATTACAATAAATATGCTCGCCGCATTGACATCTTTATGTTTTCTTGATCCTATATGATCAATGTTGTGTGCACATCTCTTTCTATAGTACTTGATTGTGTTTGAAGTTTCATCTGATTGAAGCAAGTGTTTTGAAAGTGCTATTAGTTGAAGTCCAAGTGTTACTATTCGTTTGAAGGACAAAAAGCGAATTTTGTAAATTATTATTTCAATTTAAATATTGAACTTATAGTCTATGCGTTCTGTACTGTAATAAATCAGTTCCCAACGTTTGAAAAATATAACTTAATTTAAAATACTCAAATTATATTAAAAACTCGATATTGATTGTTTCTATAGAAAATTAGTCTGCTGAAAATACCTAGGAACGGCCATGAAAGACATGCATTCGAGAAGAACTACTGCTGAGATCAAAAAAGAAAGAATTCATCCACTACACGCAAGTCGAGATATCGATAAGAGTGTAACAAACATGATGGAGAAATATTTTTTCAAGTTCATAGTATCTGTCATATTCATTCGTTTTTCGTTATTTTATTAGCAAATTCATTAAATTAAGAATTTAATAGGGATGTCTATCAATTTTCATTTGCCAAATTTGAAACAGTGATCTTTATTCTGTATGACAATACTTGTTGATTATCACTAGATCAAGAATTGCACTTACCTCTAAGCGTCCGTTTTTGCGATTATGTAATAAAATTTTGAGGTATTTCGTATTTTACTGTTTTTTTAGATGATACGAACGCTTTTGTTATGCTTATTAATAAATGTCAGGGTTTGGAAGATCAAGTTTGGAAGATCAAGTTTGGAAGATCAAGTTTGGAAGATCAAGTTTGATGTCGGAGCTAGTCATCATTGGAAGACATGATTTCTCATATCAAATGAGAGTCAATTAAAATCTTGATAACCCAGCAGAAAAAAAATGAAAAAACGTGTGAAAGCGTATAAGTTTCGACTGTTTTCGATTGCTAATGGTGGTTACCAATCGTCACCCAAAAATATTTAAAAAAAAATGCATCTTGAAAATGATCACTGATTACACGGGGGTAAAATTTTTGACAGTTTATGCGTTACAAATTTTTAGTCATGTTGAAATCTAATATAATATGAATCATTGATACGCAGATAGATAACTGTGCTGCTTTACCTATTAATTTACCTACAAACCTATCTAGTCATCAATCTATCTAACTAATCACCTGTCAACCTACTTATCTAACTAGCATACTTAACCAATTGCGTCACGATCTACTTACCGACCACACTGCTTATCAATCGACCTAACTGCTCACTCAATCCACCAGACAAAACTCTTTCTCCTTTCTTCTTTTAATCTGATTTATCTCTCTTTGATTCCTAATGAATATCGATTACAGAATGCCTTAAGTATTTGCTTTCAGTATAGTTAAGACTGATTAGAATTTGCTTCAACGAAGAACGAACGTTTTTCAATACAAGTCGGGTCTCTTCGTAGACTTGTTCATGATTTGAGTGTATTTATTTTGGATCTGTCAAAGATTTAGCTGTTGCGAGCTTATTAAGATCTCTATTGTCAATTGTACAGTAGGAATTGGTTGTAGATCCTGTAGCAAATCTAGTTTAGTAGGTGAAAAAGCAGTAAATCAATCATCAGATCTCTAACATATTAATGGTATTAAAAGGTGCACATGCTTCATTGAAGTCAACTGTAAAAAGTTATATACAATACTACAATAAAGTGCTTAAAAGATTCTTGTAACCGTGATGTGGATTATGTTGTTTAAGTATTGTATTCCTCGTCTTCGATAAAAACAGATTAACATAATGAATTTAATCAACTATACTTTCGTACTAGTTTAAGATCGTGTTTTATGAAAGATAGAGGAGAAAAGACGTTTGATCAAAGGTGGAACTAACTACCTACCTGCTTACCCTATCACAGTTAAAAAGGACATCTTATTTCATTCTGGATATAAATACTTGACTTTGGCAAGTGTCAGGATTATACTTAGGTCGGTACTCTCAGATGTTTTTTCTCCTTTCGTCTATCTTCGATTATCACGAACAACAGTAAAAGAGAATATCTAGTCAAATATGAGAACAACTTCCATGTATATAGTAGTAGAAAAGAGAAATCATTGGAAGAGAAATAGCACATGGAGAATGCAGCCAAACGGTTATAGAGTATAAGGTAAAAGGGGAAGACGATGTGGATCAGTATTGATTATGATCGATAGTTTAGGTGTGTGCAACTTTGCGTCATAATTTTTATTGCATATTTAAATCTACAACATTAAGACAAATAAGACTACAAGACAAAAATAATCGTTTGTGTCTTTTTCATATCATTTATCCTTAGGCGAATACGAAAAACAAATAACTGATATGGTAAAGAATTTGAATTCATAAAATTGAGAATCCTTCATTGTGCTTTTTACTTTCTCCCAATTTTTATCCAGAAGTAAATAAGTTCCTCAAGACCAAGTAATCAATTTCTATAATTCTGCTGAACTAAAACTGTCTTATTATGCCGTTATAAAGGTAAATAATTTTGTGATTAGTTTTTAATAACAAATTATAGTTATGAACCGTGCAATATTCAACTTGAGACCGTAATTTAAAGGAGAGTTTTATTTCTCTTATCGTTACAGTCAAGTCTCCTCAAAATGAGTACTGATTCGATACTTGATACACGTTTTAAATTTAAAAAAAGAACGTTCAAAAATAATATACTTTCAAATATAGAATTGATCAATTTTCTACTGTCAACTTCAATTTTCTTATTTTAAACTTATGTATAAATGTTAGTCAAAGTTAAAATTAAACTTTCCGTTATTGTAACTATTTGGTTGCCCTATTGACATCGGCATTTGTCTTGCTTAAAGTATTGTATTGCATATCACACATATACATTCATGTTATCATCAAAGACGGAATGGAAAAAAGGAAAGCATAGAATGCAAATTGATTAACCTCTACCTCTTCTTTAAAAAAAACATGTGTCGAGAAATTAAAGTCAGTTGAAAACTGTATAAAAGCGTGAAGTCTTGATACGTTCGTAATTATCTGATTTTTAACTGCTAAACACTCTTGTTTTCAGTAAGAAAATTACATTAAAGCTAAGATAAAACAGTTACTAGAAGAACAGAAAAGTGTCGGTTTGAAGATAGAATTCATTGATATTAGATTATGTGCTATTGAAGTAGATAAGTCACTAAATGAGCATTTTCGATATTTTGAAACAAATGTTTGTGTTATTAGAAAATCGTTGAGATATCTAACAAAACTCATCTCTGAACTTGGTTATTTATTATACATTGCTAAATGAGATTCGGAAAAAAAGGAAATCGAGAGCTTGAAGCAAACCTAATGATGAAATATTGATACAAAGTATTATAACTAACGTGTATGAAATACATTCATTATCATAGATTACATATCTCCTAAACCATATTTCTTCGATGGTTGCTGAGAAAAGACTCAAATTATGAATTTTTGCATTTTTCTTTCAAACTCATTTTTTTCTCATGATTCAAAAGACATATATTAAAATCTTGGTATGATGCTCTGCGACAAAAGCGTTTCATTCAGTCATGACCAACCTCCTAATTCTTAGAGCTACGTATAGGCTATGTTGTTTTTAAATGTCTGTATATAAAAAAAAAAAGGAATTGGATTCAGTACACAAAATATTTATTTTACTACTATCAAATAATATGTAACAAATTCAGAGAACTTCATGAAAGTAAATGTTTTCTATTTTATGTTTTCAAATTCTACATTAGAATATAGGATAATACTCGTATAAAAATATTAGTACGTACGAAAGTATTGCTATTTGTATGCATGTCATTCCACACTGATGCTTTGTTGTTAAATAAAAACAACTGTTTATGAGATGACTTTGAAAGATGTCCTAAAGATTTTATCCGAAAACTTCTTTTATATGCGAAGTTGTTTGGATTTATTATGATATACAATGAATCCGTAGAAAACTAAAGATAGATTTCCTTTCCATAATAGACAAGTTTGAAGCAATTTTCCTGAATTGTATATTTCTGAAATTTTCAGAAATCACATGAATTTTAATGAATTTCAGATAAAATTATTGTTTACGTATTTGTTTGTTTCCATGAGTCTTGGGAAATCAATTGAATAAGACCATGTATTTATTCTTATTTCTTACTATATTCATTGTAAAAGATTTATTAATCCTACTTACTAAACATGCACTATGCTTTTGTGATTAATAATGTCCTACAAGAGTGATATAGTTTTCAAAGAAGATCATTACGAATCACAAACATTTCTAAAGATTTATTATTAGAACAACATCAAAATTTCATCATTTTGTGTATAGCATGACTAGATAATGATCAATAATATTTAATAGAAATAAAATATAATCTACAATGTTCATTTCGAACAGTAGATCACTTTTTCTTCACAAATAAATTTTTCAACTAGAATAATAATATTTATTTTTAATAGTGAATTAATGAAGTTATTTAAAATATTAAATATAATTAGATTCATTACAGGATATCAGTAACTTAATTGACTGTTGATTCATGAAGAAGATATATTTTTTAGTAGTCATTTTATTTGATGATATTTTGTCAAATTTCAAAGTTTTGAGAATACGTTAAATGGTTTATGTACATGGCTGAAAACCAGTAAATGGAAGAAAAAAAAAGAAATTATTTCGACTGTAAATTCAGCTTGACTTGTCAAGCATTCAAATGCAAAATACTAGAAGAAAAAGTTTTATTGTCTAATGAAACTATTAGTGCTGGAAGGGTAATTAGTTGCATATGTTTTTGGTATAATGAATACATATAAAAATCTATCTAAAAATTTCTTTTGAAGTTAATATTAGAGTCTAAATGTTTATGAATTAGTATGTGGATAATAAGGATCAGAATGATAAGGAGGTGCAACAAATCGTTGATAAGGAGCACTATGTTCAATTTGTACTGGTATAGATACAAAATTTTGTGATGATTCGTCGTATGGTTGTTGATGATATATTGGATTGCTTCCATCATCTCTTATTGATCGAACAACAACACGTGGATGTTGTTCATGCATAGAAACCATATCTGGATGTTGTGATTCATATTGATATTGAGAATGAACTGGTGAAAAATGTGTTTCATTTTCATATGGTACATGCATACGTTCACGACTAGATTTTAATGTTCGTTGTGTTGGAAATGATGTTTCATCATCACGATTAAAATATGATGTACGATTTTCTTTTGAAGGCATTACCGACGGTGATGTTTTTCCTTGATAATCACGATTATAAAAACGATTATCACTAGTATTCAATGCATTACCACGAATTGAAGGTGAATATTGTTCCATAGTAAATTCTTTTGGACTACCCATTGTATCTGATACGTTACCAACAACAGTTGGATCAAGTTGTAATAAACGTTGTTTATCATTTGCATGTGGATCAATATTAGCTATTACTTGGGCTTTCTTGGCACTAGCTTCTTTTTTTTTCTGTAATTCTAATATAATATGATCACGTTTTTGTTTCGCTCTAAAAATTTTTTAAACCAACTGAAATATTAATACAGGAATAAAAATCATTTAACAAACCTCATTCGACGTAAGAAAAATGTAAGAACAAATAAGAATGTAACAAATCCAATTGATACCGGTATAATAATTAAATTAAGTTTATTTCTATTGCGTTCATATAATTTTACATTACCAATACGAAAAACAATTGCACCAATCACTGCATTAACTTCATCTTTTCGTCGTATTATAGCTTCTATCAATTATAAAAAAATATAATATAATATATACATAAAATAAAGTTAATTATCTTGTTTTCTTTTTTGAATGCTTACTAGTTATTAAATCTTTATCGATAGTATGTGGTTTATCGTCATCATCTGTGCATATACCTCGAATATTCAAATTAAGAAAACGTCCATCTTGTTGTGGATATTTTTCGTCTTGTTCAAAAGAACTAAATTAATAAAATGAAAATAAAATTTCAATACTAAAAATTACTTACATTGATTTACATGCAATACCTTTTTTCTCATCAGTATATTTCAATTCAGAATCGAGTGTTTTTTCTATTTTACTTAGCATATCAGGTTTCCACTAAGAAGTATAAAATAACTGCAAAAAAATAAAAAACAAAAAATAAAACAATAACAAACCTCATGTAGTTTAAGATCCATCAAACGAAGAAGTATGTAAGGACTTTCCTCTAAATGCAAAAAGCAAAAAATAAATATATATATATATTTATTTATTTATTTATTTATCATGCATCGTTTTTTTTTGTATAGACTAACCTGTAAATTTTTGTGACTGAGTAAAGCATATAAAAAAATTTAATAAAAGAAATATAAAAATATAGTTCATTCTTTTTTAAGCAAAACCGTGATTCAAAATTTATTCATGAAGAATTAGAGAGCGACCTGCATCTTATAACCTTGAAATGTTAATTGCAGAGTATAGTGAAAAAATATGTTGATGTTATATGAACGCCAGCGTCATGGATAAAGGGAAATACAAGGAGAAACAAGAAAGAAAAAAAAAGAGGATCTTTTGTGTTTTTTTTCTTTTTTTTTCTCTTTCTTCTCTATATTTTGAATGACATTGTGTAGTCTTCATCTCCGTTCTGTATTGCATGTCAAATGCAAAAGGAAACGACCGAACGGAAGAGAAAGGAAAAGACATAAGCGTCAGGAATAAAAGATTTTTGGCTTTTCTTTCTCGTGGATAAGAAACCAAATAAGTGGAATAGAGTGCATTGTTTAGTTTCGATTTTTCTGTGATTGTCATTGAATACTTAGTCACAAGACAGCAAAATAATATGAGAATGTGAGCTTCCTTATATATTAGTCAAACTATTTATCGTTGTCATAATTACGTTAAAAATAATGTAAAAAGAGAAACAAACATATAGGAAATGGATTCTTCAATAACAAATAGAAAGGTTATATATTGTAAATATCAATAGACGTAGTCTTGACTATGACGCATATATATATATAATAATACAAATTAGTAAAATAGAAATATTTCAGAAAAAAATAATCTAGAATTTGTTCAAACCAAAATCGATTTAAAAACAGTTTGAATTTGCAAGCAGATACGTTTGGAATGCTCATACAGAAAAAATCATATCTTCAAATCTTTGTACGTAATTCATACTTAAAAAAGGACTCATTTTTCTATATATTAATGTCAGCCAAGAAATACTCTATATACTAATACTTTGATGTTATGAATCATCTAAGAATCACTTTAATAATTCTGTATAATAGCCACAGGAATTTGTTTGAGATATAGAACAGAGAGTCTGAATGCATTATTATAATGAAATAGTAATAATGTTATTATCAAAATTATCAATTATATTCAAGAACAACATTATATTATTGAAATAAACAATTATGATATATGGATTTCCTTGAACAGACAATAAATTTTTTCAGAATATTATTATAGTTGAAAATTATGAGAAATTAGAAAATTTTTTTTTTCGGAAAAATAATGCAAATGTATAGAACTGTCACAATTCTCAAATTTTTGCCTTCGGCTTGAATCAAATTTGTCATTATTATAAATTGACAAGCCACTTGCGCATAGCAATGAGTTGCGTATTTACTCAAAAATTATTCGAAGACTTTTTTGTTTACAACAATTGATATCTATATGAAGAATTATGAGACATGAATGAACATCAGTTATTAACTCTATAATCATCAAAATCATTTATCATCAATTGATCAGTCAATATTAACTCTGACATATACATATTGTAATGGATTCACTACTATTGTTATTCTAAATCAATAAAGGACTATTTAAAAACTCTTTTGTATGATTAAATGCTTTCAAATATTTTCAAACAAAACATGTTAATCATCGATGAGCGAGATCTATTAACAGATAATATATTGCGCATATTGTTGCAAGATATTCTTCTTAATGAATCACCGATATGCAGAACAAACAACGACAAATTTTGTTTTCATATCAGAAAACTATTTTAGTCTTTCTGTCGAGCATAACACGACATAAATGTTATTCGAAACAATTAAGAGCAGTATTATAATCAAACCAACGAAGATCACTTAAAAAACATTTTTTAATGATTTCAAACAAATAGCTATGGTTCTTAATGTTAGTCTCCAGATTGTTCATCTTGTTCTCGAGAATTTTTAGGTTATGGATGACAAAGAATTGCGAGTCTAAAAGAGAATTGATTTTTGACTTTCAAACCTATGACGCAAAACATGCAAATATACTTGCTGCTCCATTATGCTTGTCAATTACTAAGAAATGATAATGATGACAAATCAATATCCATTATCCATTCAATAATTTTGATTATATTTACATGAGATACTCATTTATTCTGTCGTCATTCATTTTTTTGAACACAATCTTGAAATACATAAGTATATCATTATGTATTTGACACACGATTTATTTGGTGCTTGAAGAAGGTTAGATTTTTCATGATTACAACTATCCATTATGACATAAACCCCCCCTCATAATAAAAGACCCCCGGGTCTTCTATTATGAATTTTATATCATATTCCAAAAGGGGTCTTCTATTACGGGAGGTCTTCTAATATGAATTTCTGTGCACAAACTACCAGAAAGATAATATATTCTCTTCATGAACAGAAACCCTTACTGTCTTCTTTTATTTTATGATTCTGTCGTCGACAAGACATCATTTTGCAGAAATAATATTTATACAAATAATTCTAAGAAAATTTCGACGAAGAATGTATTACAAGACCCGGGTCTTCTATTATGAATTTCACATAATATTCCAAAAGGGGTCTTCTATTATGGGAGAGTCTTGTAATATATGGGGGTCTTCTATTATGAGGGGGGTTTACCAGTATTTAATTGATTTTTCCGTTCGTTATCAATATGAATGGGAAAAGAATCAGCATTCTATATTACAGAAAGATTTTCTCATCATGCAAACATTCTGCTTGAACGATCTTATTCAAGCACTCTCGCATCATTGCATGCAAATGACAAACTAATATACGGACAACTGCGTTGGAGCCATTGATGTTTTAACAAAGTCTCAAATGACTAGTTGACCTCGCAGTAAAAACAAATTCTATGTTTGTTTCCTACCTATACTTTGCTTTTTAGAAGAACCGGTAATCTAGACTGTTACTAGAAAGTTTTAAAAACCGTTTCTTGAATTTAATCCATCCTTCAAATTGTGCAAAGCAAGTCTCTTTTCCCTCGTCAGATGACTAGATGTTACTTTTCGATTCAGCAATACATATCAATGTAAAGGAGTCTAACGATGAAATGTTTATAAGAATCCTAGTGTAAAGTAGATATAAGGCCCAACTTTTCGAAAGATGATGCTATCGGTTTCTTAGAGAAACGTTTCAATTATTTTCAAATTGTCTACGAACGATAGTCAAAATATGGTATCTTCTAGTTACGAAAATGATGGCTAGTGTATTACAACAAATCGATATCTAAATACTTGACTAATTTTCTGTATGTGTATATATAACAATAAATAATTAAATATTATATCTCGAAACGTTCTTATCAATCAAAAATGTACGATTTCTTTTATTTGAAGTCGAAGCCGAGCTATGGTACATAAAATATGACAAAATATCAAAAAATCATTTTATTTTCTATCTTAAGAAATTGCTTTAAACATCGAGATACTCGTGTAGGCTGGGTTTGTAATGGTTATCTGAATAGAAAGTTTGTGAATGCATGATAAAACCAAAGATTGATAACTCTAACTTTCACAAGTATCTAATGTCGACTTGTCAAAATTGAATGTAATTATTAAACTGAATAACTGTTGAATAGCATAAAAATGTTCACAAAAAAGTAAAGGATCTACATGGAAAACTGGCGAAGTTTGTAATGCGAACTCAATGGTAATCATACCTGAAACTGGTCTCATCATTTATAAGATTAGAAAAATGTCGACTTAATCTAAATATAGGGGAGTAGGTGGGTGTAGATTAAGATAAGACAAACTCATATCTACACCCTTTGTTAGTTGAAATATTTTTAATCGAAAGAATACAATGGAAATTACTATTATATGTATTATGAGTAGCATACGTAAATTTAATACAATTTAATAGAAGTTTTAGTAAATAATTTTTCAACATTCCCACAATACATATTATCTTTAATTAACTTCTTATAAATCCCTCGCTATGCAGATGAAAATAGATAAACAGAAGACGTTAGGAAAATTAACAGCAGATTCGAGTTTTTCTTGCTGATATTTTCTCCTAGATTTGGGTTGAGTCTGTACTTGCTTGAGTTAGATGCAGAATTCAATTTTGCATCAAACAGTACTATTTTCAACCAGGGCCATCTGGCAGAAATAGAAAGATTGACCCCCTATATTGGGTTTTAGCTGTCATTCTCATGCTGGTATCCCACCGACAGTTCGTCGAAAAAGAGGAAAAAAGAGGAATTTCGTTGTCAGAGAAAAGAGGATTTTTAATAAAAAAAGAGGCGCATTTTTTCAGCTTGTAAAATGCGAACAAAGACTCTCGCGAGCCTCAAAGGTTAACAGATTGCAGCATCGCTAATCTGAATTCAATACAGACTGAAAAAAACCCGAAAGATGAAAGCGATTTTCAGTTGTTGACATTTGTTGCAATCATGCTTTTTCTATCCAGCTCAGAAAAAAAGAACTACAAAAATAAGAAAAAAAAACGGATGTGATTCAAAGGTACTTCACTGTAATATCACTTTATCTTACTGCTTGTAGACAAAGAAATAGACATTTAAAAAAATCACTCAATATCGAAAATCTGTTCAGTTTATAATATTACGAGAATAGAAAAACCTAACAAAAAGCGAAAGAAGAAACAGTAGAGCGTGCATATTGATAAGACAAGAAAATGGATAAATTTGGCTTAAATCAAAAGTTGCAAAATGTCTTTCTCAAAACGATGACCAGAATTTCTATCTTGGACAGCAGAAGTTCTCTCTGAAAGCACAACAATACCAAATGTGATCAATTCTACACGTTTGAAATAGTTCGAAATTCAATTGAAATTGAGTGATATACAAGAAAAAAGTATTTGAAAAAATTTTGATTCCTGAGTATACTAAGTTCGAGTTTTGACGATTTTTCAAGAAGTTTTACTAAAGGCAGAGAAACTTTACGTCTTTGAAGTTACATGACACGGCGAGTTTTTACCAAAATTTGTGAGAACTTATCACTAATTCTTCTTCGAGGCGATCTAAGGCGCCGAACTCGCTAGTGAGTGTGAACTAGCACTTTGCGAAGATCTCTGCCTCTGGAGAAAGTTTTAGAGATTTATTAGCTAAAATCGGGTTTTGTTTTTCGTAACAACCGGCTGTCTTGTAAACGATTTCCTCATCCAGGCAAATGTAGCCAATTTGACGGCATATTCAGCAGTTTCGGAGTCCAAATTTTGAGTTTCAATTATCGAACTCCATGTTGAAGTTCATAATGGAAGCTGTCTTGATGCTCAAGCTTTACACACATCTGTTAGAAAAAACTATTTCAATTAGCTCAAGTATCTAACTTTCAAAGTTTTATATTTGCACGTAAATAACTCTATCGCAACCTATTTTAATATTTCCAGATTTCAACCTCAATAAATATTGGTTTTAACTTATTCGATCAAAGTTCATGCCAAAAAATCTTACTAAAAAATATTTTGGATTGGAATTAATGCATATTTAATTATTATAATGCGTCCTGAAGGATAATTTTCAACCTTGTTATTCACCTTATTGGTTCGAAGCATATCGATTCATGCAAATCGATCGACATTATCGGTTATTACCCTTAAAAAACCTAGGTTTTTCCAAAAAAAGAGGAAAAAGAGGATTTATATCCAAAAAGAGGCGGAGTGGGAAGCCAGCTCATGATATTTCGGCTGTTTATGTTATGACCATTGCTGTAGTCTATGTAGTTAAATAGTTTAGAGTAGCTTTTTATAATCGATTGTTCTCTAATAGTAGCTGCAAAGTATGGTTTAGCTGAGTTAGGCCGTATCAACCGTCTTCAGAATCTTATCAGAACCTACGAACATCTGGAAGAAATAGTAGGGAGACTTGGCTGTCAATGAGCATTATATGTCATAATGTGGTCGATCGCTTTGTCATCAGTGACGCCACCTGAATAGTGAACGCTGACGTTCCTTCATAGAACATAGCTGGTACCTATCGATATTGGTCAGTTGAAAATGACCGCTCATTATGTCTAAAATTGTCACACTTCGATTATATACAAAAATCGTTCTAGTATGTGAAGAAAAAACAACCAATACAGACTAGAGCTTATTTAAACACTTTTCCACTTTAAAGTGTACATTTTTCATGCTTGAAGCACAGTACACAAACGATCTCTATTTTGTCAAAACCCAGGTTTGTGGGTATCGTGATCTTCAGAGTCACTTTCTTTTATACAAAAACGTTTCATTTTAAAAACGTAAAAAGCGTCTCTTTGAGAGTGTCAAAACGCATTTTTTTCATCGATTTTGCCTGACCAAAATATAATCTTAAAAAGAACCATTATAGTTTCTAACGTGGAGAAGATAGCAAGTGATTTGAAATCACCAGAATTGTTTTTATTCGAGAAGCAACGCTTGGGAAGCAAAGAGGAACTTTATCGAAATTTTCGAAATTATTTTCCGTAAAATATTATCCAATTCAGAAAAAAAATCATCTATATCTTTTTTGAGTGTATTAATACGCTTCTAGACCAAATTCGATTTCAGGAGTGCATATCAGAATGGAAAAGTAACCGAAACAGGGTCAGGGATCCAGTATTTGGAATTAAATCCGCAATTTTTAACCCATGGATCTTACTTAGAAATAGCATCAGTCGATGCAGAATTAAATTTTGCATCTAAACCAAGCAAGAGAAGACTTAATCCAAGTCTAGAAGTGAGTATCGACAAACAAAACTGGAATCTGCTGCTAACTCTCCTTACGTTACCATGCACCCATCCACAGCCAGTATAGTTGAACAATAATATGAATGAGTTCGTGAAAATCGAGATTATGTTTAATACGGAACACGATTAGGCCTATCTGTCATCAAGCAAACTCCGAAAAGTTCGAACATATTCATTGTCTTATTAATGATGACCTTTATACTACAATGGACGAATTTTAAGCACAACCTGATCCGAATCATAGCACCGTCCAATAAATGATTTTCGATCATCGTAAGTTTAAAAAATTATGATTAGTTCCTCTTCAACTTTCTTTTTGACCTTCACGATAAACCAGATAACAAATGATTAAAGCTTATAGATGTTATTCATCACTGCTTGGGCTATCAATTTATGTAGTAGATAATACTATGATTCGACTAGTAAATAATTTTATATTCGTTTATGTATATCTCAAAAACTAGCTAGGCTAGACTCATCTGGTTTTTGTCAGATCATCATCTATATAACCTCTAGTATATTAGTAAAACATTTCAGATCAATCCATTTATCTGTTTAGTTTTTATTAAAGATATAATCGCAGCATACCGTTTTCCATTCTTCCAGAGTTAGTTATTCAACCACTTACTTTTGCAATTGTTGTGCAAACTACATCGGATATTCTATTTGAATAGATATTTCGTGTTGGGAAATTATTTTCGTCGTCTCCTATGTATACCCAGATGACAGATAGACTTTTTTATACTCTTTTGTTCATGTGTCGAAGAAAGACGAAATTGTTTTTAAAAGCGCCGATTTGTAGAGAATCTTTTTCTGTATGAAACTCTTAGATTTGAAATCATATCACGTAAGTTATGTACCTTCGTTACGCTATCAATGTTAGAAATAAAAAGCTTACTGTATGGGAGTCTCATGAGATATAGAGCAAATTTTTAGGCGTCACCATTTTAAAGATGAAGGATGAATTTTAGTTCAAAGCGCTATGTCATGTTTTATCTGATACATTCTTGTTTGGAGACTGACTCCACTCCTGTTCACAACAGCTAACGGACAACAAACTCCTGAAATTTTAAACATCTCGGGTAAAAGATGGAGGCCAAATCATCAAAGGCTCCGTTGTTCAGAATTTACTGAAAATAAAAAAATATATTTGGATCATCTCGAAATAAAGATCTTTCTAACAAGCTTCGAACCAGTTTTGAGAGACTTGTCGATCTTTCGATCATTACAACACAAAGTACAGATTTGGTTGCAACAAAAAACCTACAAATTTATTGGGAACTACTACAACTCTCAAAGAGAATGATATGGAAATGATGATTATTCTATATTAATATCTTGAAGATTTAATATTGAAATATGTCAAAAACAATATGATACAATTGTAACAAATAAACATCGAACAGTATTGTTTGGTAGTTGCGCAGGTTTGGAATAGCGCTTTAGTTTTATCTGTTATTCTTCATTATAGAGAAGTATGGTTATGTCGGAGTCAAAGGCACTAGTGGATCATGCAATGAAGAATATAGACGTTTTTATATTTCTCAAAATGAATTAGACATATGTCAATCGATTACAAATGATAGAAAAATACAAGAATGTAAAGTGTATTTTATTTCCATTATAAAAAAATTATCTTGATACCAAATAGATCTCTTTGTACTCAAACCAAAAGCAGTCGAAACAATTACATGCACTCGGACAAGCATTTTTTTTTTTTATCAAATAAAAAAATGCTTGTCTTCATCTATATCAATTCAATATACTTTTTCGTTTTTTGATTAAAATTTCATAAATAAAGCAACTACAATATATGAATATGTTGAAGTATCATATGTGCTCTTTTATTAAAAGATCTAATAAATTCATTTGAATTTATATTCAGTATCAAATAATGTCATGAGAGCCTTCTTATTGCGACATCTTTGTACAATATTTTTTCTTCTGATTGTACTCAACAAGGAGTTTCTATAGTTTCTTTTTTTTTAATGTCATATATAATCACGACTTATGTATGGCTTCCAAAAGGGACAATAGCGCACCAGAAATTTCTATAAATAGGAATTCATTTCGACACATGTATAAAACATAGGCAATAAAAAGCCAGGTAGCATTGAATAAAATAATTATTCTTAGTCGATAGGTAAATGCTTGACTTCGAAGATGTTTATGTTTTTCAATCAGTAATGCAAGTCCTCCGCCAATAATTCCTCCATACCAAAGTAAAAATAGAAGTGAACTTTCACCTAATAATAATTCTCCATGTTCTGCTTGTTGTGTATCATATTGAACACAACGATATGTTAAAATATTGAAAAGAACAACTGTTATTATTGTATATTTCACAGTCAATGACAGTTGTCTCTGATGACAATATATAATAGAACATAGATGAAATAAAGCAATTATTTGTAAAATAAGTAAGATTAATTTTTTTCGATAATCAATTGATGAACGTATATGGAAAATTTTCCAACTATTGTATGAACGTGAACGTGATGAACTTTTTCGAAAACGAACATAATTTCGACAATAACGTCGTGATTCATTAGATTTTATTATATAATTATCAGATGATTGAATTGATGGTTTTCCATTGTCATTTATATTCATAGGTTTTGATCTATTTCGACTTTTTCTAATTCTAGATAAATATATTCTTTGATCATATTGATTCATGATTTATTCTGTTTCAATTTAACTTAAAACAACAACTTTAGAAATATAAATAAAATAAATAAAATGTAAGATATACTCTTTTTTTTTTTCTTTAGTTTCTATAGAAATATATATTTTCAAGTAGATAACCAAATTTCAAATATGCCACAACGAACATCAAATAAAGTTAAAGTTTATGTTCGAACTCGTCCTACAAACAATTTTGCATCTGATATGATTGGAATAGGACGAGATAATCGAGTTAGTTTTTTATTTATAGTTTTGAACGAAAGCAGTCGCTTCCTCCCATAAAGTGTTACTATTATTTATGATATTGACTGATATTTTGGGTACATGCATGGGACAATAAATCCTGATAGCAAGCACTAATCCACTCTCCATCGATTTACATGTACTGGAGTTATGATTCATGTTCTTGTGAAACTGAATAAACTTGTCGTCTTACAGGAACTTTCTGATGAGGAAAATAATGTCTAAATAATAAGTCCAGTACATCATGGGAATCAATGGAGAACGGATTGATGCTTATGATCAGGGCTTATTGTCTCTTGCATGCATCCAAAATATCAACTCGCTATCATAAGGAATAGTAGTACTTCATGGGAAGTAGTTACTTTGGAAAAATAAATCTTTTATAGTCAATTAGTATTCATCGAACACCTTCAGCAAGTGTTGTTGATAATAAAATAAATGATTGGATATTTCATTTTGATGGTGTATATAATAATGTGAGTCAAGAAGTTATTTTTGATTCTATTGCAAAAGATGTTGTTGATCGATCATTAGATGGTTACAATGGTTTGTTCTATTATTTATATATTATTCTTATGAATGAAATTTCTTTTCTTTTAGGAACAATAATGTGTTATGGTCAGACAGGCGCTGGTAAAACTCATACAATGACTGGTTTTACAGAAAGTTATCAAAATCGTGGTATTATACCTCGTACTTTACAACATCTTTATCAAGAAATAAATGCTCGACAAGATTTTTCTTTTTCTGTTCGGTAATTAAATTTATAATTTCAAAAAAAAACAAAAATTTAAATATGTTTTGTACTTTTAAGTATTGCTTATCTCGAAATTTATAATGATCAAATGTGTGATTTACTTCGTACATTAAATTCTCAATCGGATTATCAACAACAACTACAACAATTATCAATTGGTGAAGATTCAGGTTTAGTCTATGTTAAAGGATTATCATATCGTATTGCAAATGGTGAAGAAGAAGCATTAAATTTATTATTTGAAGGTGAAACAAATCGTGCTATTGGTCAACATGTACTTAATAAGCAATCATCTCGTTCTCATTGTATATTTACAATTCTTATTGAATGTCGATCAATGTTATCATCTGAAGACAAATATACAATATCAAAATTAAATCTTGTTGATTTAGCTGGTAGTGAACGATTGGCTAAAACAAATGTAAATTCATTTTTTTTTCTTCTAAATATATTATTACTATTGTTTTAAATTTAGTCGGAAGGTGTAACAAAACGAGAAGCAACATTTATTAATAAATCATTATCATTTCTTGAACAAGCTGTACTTAATTTATCGGATAAAAAAAATAATTCTCATAATTTTCGTAGTTCAAAATTAACTCATGCATTAAAAGATAGTATTGGTGGACGATGTAATACAGTGATGATTGCAAATGTTTGGCCAGAACTACAATATCTTGAAGAAACAGTATAGAGATAATTATAATAAAATGGTATAATGATGTTTGTTTTTTTTCTTCGAAATAGGTTTCAACACTTCGTTTTGCAAGTCGAATGATGTGTGTTCCAGCTGAACCAACTGTAAATGAAGTTATTGATCCATTGAAAGCTCTTGAAAATTATAAACGTGAAAATAAACATTTACGAGAAGAACTAGCATTACATGATGCATTAATTAATCGAAATGGTATTTCATATGAACCAATATCTGAACAACAATTATATGAAATTGAAAATCAATGTCGTCGATTTATTGATGGAACATTAGATGAAATTGAAGTAAAAAATCTTCGTCAAGTACAAGGTTTGTTGTTGTTTTTTTTTGTCTATTTATATAAACTATGAAAAGTTTACTTTTTGTTCTTTGTCAATAGCTATTTTTAATGTATTCAGAAATATTTGTCGGTAAGTTAAACAAAACTATAGATTGAGAATTATGTATTGATGAATATTTAGAGCAACAGAAAAAGATACTGAGAAAAAACATCATGATCGGCATGTTCTTTCTGACAGATATGAATATGAACAACAAGACAATCAGAAGGTAAAATTTATTTACTTCTATTGATATTTGGAAAACGAGCAAGATGACCATTTACAGAATCATATTTGACACGAATCTCTTTTGCCATACTGATGAATATTGAAATCTTTGTCTTTTTCATATTAATCTTAGTTTTTATTTTAATAATATAAGTAAATTTAGTTATAAAAGCATTTCTTCATACTACTATGTCACGCTTTTACCGACAGATAAATCGATTTTTTGAAAAATCTAAGCATGCTTAGAAAATAATTAGCATGGAGATTTTCTATAATTAAAATGCATGAAGTGGAAGTCAATGACTTTTTTTAACGTTAGTTTTTATTACTAATAAGTACTCTAAACAAAGACGTTTAATGCTGATTTTTTATTGGGAATATCTAGTAGGAAAATCCATCGTTCAGAAATACACATATTTCAATTGTTTAATAAAGTAAAATTTTATTATTCATTATTTAGATGTTTAACGTTAACCAAGGTATGAATAGTATGGGAGGCACTGCTGGAGATCTTGATGGTCAAAATTTTGCTTTGGGTACAGCTTCAAAAGATCAACGAGTTAATAAAGATGCATTACTTAAAATGACACGAAATAAACGACAACCAGCTGCCGGTGCTACAACAAGTAAAACAGCAGGAGTACAACAAATGAAGTAAATTTCATTTTTTATCAAATAAATTTTCTTTTCATTTGATTTGTTTTTATCAAATATTAAATTAGTACTAAAGACAAATCTTCACCACCTGGATCAAAACCAGCTGGTATTGTTCTTCAACGAGGTATTACTGATGATGAACAATTTGCACGTGTTAAAGAACCAAGTGAAATGCTTGATACAAAAGATCAACGACCAAGGTAATATGAGAATGTTAGAAATGAATAATAATAGGTTTTTTTTTGTTTTCTTAAAAATCTACATAGTACTCCACCGGGTCGTGCAGCTGCGTTTGAAGAATTTAAACAAACACGAGGTGCAAATTTAAATAAAATTTATTTAGAAAATAAAGAAATAATGACAACAAAAAAGAAACAATTTGCTGAATTAGCACGACGTGTTAATCAAACTAAAGCTGAAATTGATAAAACACGTATTGAAGCTGAACGTAAAAAGAATGAACGATTAACAATGGGTAAAAAATTTATTTATTTTTTTCTTTTTATTCATTCAGTTGTTTTTTTTTTCATATAAAAGGTGAATTTTTAAATGAAAATGGTGAAACAATTATTGATGAAGAAGAATATGAATTTATTGCAAAATTACAAGAACTTAAAGGTACTTATCGTGCTGATTATGATCAATGGAAAAATCTTAAATCAGAAATAACCTATTGTCAAAATTTGGTTAATCAATGTCAAAATCGACTTCTTCAAGGTACAAAAGAACAAAATAACTTATTTAAATTCTGTTCGAAATAATTATCTTTATTTAGAATTTGATATATGGTATAATGAATGTTATTTAAATAAAAATAATCCCGGTGCTATGGATGATTTATTAACATCAAATAAAAATAATAATGATTATCGTGTTTATGATGATGCAGCTGAAAGATTTGAACGTATGCAAAAAGAATTATTACTTTCAGATCTTGATAGTATGCCATTTAGACAAGCTCAAATGCGAACAAATCGACGTGTAAGTTTTAAAAAAAAAGACAATTTGATTTGTTTTTTTCTGGAATTATTTCTATTATTTTCTTTTGTAGCATATTTTTGATGCTGCAACAACACAAGGACCATGGAAACAAGCTCCATCAACAGCAGCTGTTAACAATAGTGGTTCTTTTCATGGAAGAACATATGATCAAGAACAACAATCTTCTCCATCGATATCTACAAGTGGTAATCGGCAAAAACCAATGGTACGATAAAAAAAAAACGATTAAATTTGCTATTTTTTTCTCTATGTTTGTGTGTAACAAAGCGATTCTAACTGAATAAATGTCCTCGTTTCATTTTATTTAATTCGTATTGTTTTATATATTCAAATAAAGTACTATTCAAAATGATAATAATAAGGTAATTTTGATTTTTTTCTTTTCTGATGCTAAATATCTAACTAAAGTCCAATATATAATATGATTAGGCCATGAAGTTCTCGATCAGATACACTATATATTAAGGTTTCATAGTTGTACTGTGTTGAAAGAGCATACATACTTTATCCAATAGGGAAACATTTAAAACAAATTTTTGTATATAGAACGATAGGCTAAGATCTATACGGTTGTTACTCCGTAGATCATTCTACCTGCTTTGGAAAAAAAATAATTTTTTGGGGTCTAGAATTATCCCAAACTTTAAAAGAGGTAGAATATTTTCTTTGTAAATCTAAAAGCTGGCCATTGGTCAAAGTATTTTGAACATTATTGAAATGGCAAAAAAAAAAATCATTTTCATTTTTTCATCAAATATCCACTGTGAATCAATGATAAAGAAAACAAGTGAAATAGGCTCTTCGATTTCATTTCTAACCCTTAAAAATTCCAGATTGTTTTGATGACCTTCCTTTTTTGCTTCCAATAATTTCTCTTTACAGAATTCTAAATAGAGTTCTTTTTATATTTCTTCTCAAATAAGAAACAAAAAACAAAATTTATTGTTGTTTTCTTCTATTTCATTTTTCCATAATAAATCAATCAAGAATGATTCGCTACTTA